GGATTCTGGTCTAATTTGATAGCCTGTATCCACTAGGTGATGAAGACTGACGCTTTCTATGCTTCCTGTTCCTCCAGAATCCGCTTTCAGCGTGTGCAGTGCGCTTACACACTAGCCACCGCTGAGATGATAGGTATTCGCCTGTTCACACCAGAACTATGTGCACAAAAGCGACTGCTTCAAGCTCTCCACCTACCCTGACTCCCAATTGATCATCACCATCACCAACACCAGTCACAATCAATCTCATCCGAACACAGTTACATAGGACTTACCCCACTCCTCCCCTCTCTTCATCCCAAATGACCTTTCGACCCAACGTGAAAATATCTCCCCACTAACAACAAACCAGTTTTTCGCCTTCGGACTTGTGTTCTGATGTTACAACGGGATCATTCTGGGATTTTAACCGTCTTAGGTTTCACTACTTGGGATCTATATGACAATATTGAGTTGTTTGCTTCTCCGGGGAGGGCGACAAATGGTGCATCCCTAATGTGAAAGCCTTTTGTTCATGGTGGTTACTAATATATCGTTGCCTTGGTAGGGAGTTAAAAACCTGTCTCCGTTATGCAAACAGCAGTATTGGAGTTCTGTGTATATATGAATGACTGAAAAAAATTTCCTGGAGGCACACGAACGGTTTGGGAACCCTTGCTGCTCATCAGGTATGCGTATCCGGTAATCCTTTGCCAAGTCGTTCTCGAAGTGGATTAGGCAACGCAAGCGTCATTTAGTTACTTTACTTCACTGCGGTTGGCTCCTTGGGAAGGATAAGCCGGCTCCAGACATTGTCGTGATCATGGAGTTAATTGGCAGTTTGGTACGAGGGACGTCCCCAACTTCACTCTGCGTTTTTTATTTTGAGGGCGCACCTCTAGCCTTTGTACAACCAAGTGCGAACTGCAAGACAGCAGGAAGTAATCCCTCGCCTCGGAAGTGAGGAGGTCAATGACTTTAGTTTTAGGTCAGTCGCAGCGATCTTTGTCACGACACCGTGATTGGGCTTATGCGGCCAGGTGAGCAGTCTAAAACCCACTACACTCTGGTAGTGCGGCCGCTGGTTCGCGCGTCGGTGAACTTTTGTGCTACTTAGTATAGAAAAACACTGAAAACGTTTTACCTTTCTGTTTATATTTAATTCTTTCCTATAACACGGCCAGCTTCGCTGAATACTTACTTTCCTTTACACTATATCCCACCTTTCTTTCTCAGTTCTCTGTCACTGTCATCGCAACCTTGCGTAATCTGCGACAAAGTTAAATCGTCCGCATCGTCCTCTTCATGTTGTTCTCGCGATGGATCACCCTCCCGAACCACTGGGCGACAACGATCGCCAGAAAGCTGCGAAGGTAAAATTAACATGGCGGTTTGTTTTATGCTTCACTTTTCACCTATATCTCTGTAATAGACTTTGTGTTCTCTTTCGTTGTCACACTTCCGGTAACATTAGTTCTCTCTGATTTGATAAAATTGTACTTTGTAGTCGGAATATAGATCATTGACTTACAAAGAAGGTTACGTTTACGTCGGAATGTAATCATTTCTCCTATAATCCGATGCCAATCGATCGAGCTTACCTATTGTGAATGGACGATTATTTTCATCGGTTACGATTATTGTGTTTAGTCATTCATGTTTGCTCCTTTTTACCCCATTACTTTTCTTACTTGATCGAAGGTTTTGTGATTGATGAGGTTAATGTGCATAATCCAATCACCCCTGCTTAGTTTCCTCTCTGTGTGCACTTTTGATTACGTGCGTTAGTCCGGAGGACGGTGGAAGAGATGAAATCGATCGTCAACAGGCTCCAAACGACAGTCTTTTCAACCTGGTTTACAGTCGTGATAGACCATCACTTCGTTGTCGCAATGAAATCCAATAAGTAAACTTCACTGAACAGGAGAGGTTCTGCGTATACCCACCTCCGCACTGTGTTCTGCTTGTGTCTGCCTCTTTGGATCGCAAAATGAAACCCAAAACATTCTGTGAATGTGTGAAGAACTGCACACACAAAAATCGAGCGTTCCTTGACTTCCAGGATAGGGTCCCAAGGATGCTGCAAGCGCCTATTAGGAAACGTTGAAAGATATGGTAGCAAACCTTTCCGTTCATGATTTTCCTGCATGATACCCCTGGCATGCATATAACTCACGGCAACAGAATGTGATAATTGGTTCAAAACATTAACATCATCGAGCTGAACTCGCTGACAGACGTCAATTCGATGAATAGATAAAGCTGTGATTTGTTCGCGACAGCTGAGCTGACCCCCAAATCGATAAACAGAGGGCAATCCACTGTTTAGTGCTTCAGCTCGGGTAAAGCTTGCCGTCGGACATTGACGATAGCTCAATCAGCAAACTGGTTACCACAGTCACTACGACCAGGGTTAACAGCAACATGTGAACCGGGGCACAAAATAAATAGTGCACTCATTTTGATCGTTCTCTCTTTGTCGATGCTAAGGAGACGAAATTACATCCACAGGTTCTTCACACATCGCTTCTAGGTACGCGCGGTATTTGAGTCCCCATGATTTTGTACCCATCAACAAAATTTTGTGGCTCCTCTGACCCATGTGATGAAAAGTGAATCGCTCAGACTACGTTTTAGGGGTATGTGGTGAGAATTACTCGGTCACGTATATTAATTATGCAGCCATCAGTTTGTGATCCGAGCCACGACCGTCTGTATCTTAGCCTCTCATCATCATCATCATCATCATCATCGTACAGCGAGGTACAGTGAAGAGAACTTCACTTATCGCTGCTAAGCTCGTACTGTACACAAATCAAGTGATAAAGCACAATATGGAGAAGGCTTGGGCCTAATTGGAGGGAGGCAAAGAAAGTGAACCTCTTGATAACACACAGAGTAGCCGTAGATTGTCTCAACAGTGGTTGGCGACAATTGAGTGTCATATAAAAGAAATATTGGTTGTCAACTTCAACTAACTTTTTCCATCGTTCTCCGAGGTCGACCACAGAGTGCGGAAACTTGTTCTTCGGGAGGGATATATATATTCGCATACACCTGACTTCAGACTG